CTCGCCTCCGTCCCCACCACCCTCCACTGCCTCGCCGCCGACCACTTTCCCGCCCCCGCCTTCACTCCCTCCCTCACCCCACACAACACCGCTCTCGCTCCCTTGCCTGCCATCTTCATTGGCGATTCTATCACTGATGCGGTTGATGATGTTCGCTTCTCCTTGTACACCACTTCTCTTCATAGATTTCTGGCTGGTCTGGGTCAAATTCTGGGTTTCATTCGACTGATTAAATTTCTCACGTAAATTGTCGTTATCACTTAAATCTCTCACAGTCCACATTCCATTACGGTCCGTTTCATTTTCTTTCCTCTTCACATTAACATGTGCGTCATTGAGATCAGTTTCCCGGAATACGAACGGTCTATCAGCAACAGTGGTCTGAATACCGTTAAGATTTTTGAATTTATTTTTTACATCTCTTGCAAATTCGAAGGTTTCATCACCAGATTCTTTGACACTATTATCATTATTCTTGCCTTTAATCTCACTTACAAGTTTTGTCACATTTACTTCATTGGTTAACTCTTGTGTGCTGTTTCTAGCTATGAGCAATGCGAAAGTTATCAATAACAACATGCACATAGCAAAGAATTTGTTTCACTTCTGTGTTTAACTTTCTGCACGACATTGACTTTTCGCAGCACTTCTGTTATTATGAAATACTCTCTAGAACTCAGGTTGTCATTGATGCTTATCGAGCTAAGGAATGACCCTTCATGTCATCAGTTTAATGATGGTTAAAAAAAGACTCTGAAAAACAAAACAACGCCACTCGTGTCGCCCGACCTTCTCCTCGCAATTCTGTGAGACAAACTTTATTGTATTGCATGTGCGTGTCAGGTTTCCATTAGAAGATACCCTGGAGACAAGCGGTATTACACATGCGATCGTTTTAGCTGAAAGTCGCACAATCGATACATGAGCTCTGTTTTATTATCTCTCTGACACTTCTATTTATTCTTGTTTTATAATTTGTTAATGATGCGCGCGTTTTAATTCCGCAAACATTTAATTAACTATGACATTTTTTAAAAATTTAAGATATCAGGGCAGTGAATTATTTCCGCGTTAGAGGTTTCAACAAGGGAAAACTATTGACATTATACAATTAAGTTCTTGATACACAACTAGTTACTGTAGGAAAAATTCAAAATTGTGCAATAGTAATACTCAACTAACCCACTAAATATATAAATAAATTCATAAAACTAATACAAACGATTTAGGAATCCTCGCTTTGAAGTGCAGTTTTGCAGTTGTTTGGTGAGATACTTTAAACAAAGAGAACTGAGAGACTATACCGTGCATCCAAAAGGAAAGTTATAGTAATTTTAACAATGACATTTAATGTATTATACCATTTGCATTGTATAATTGGAAAGAATCTGTAACATGTATTTTATTTCAGGTTCTGGGTCAATGAACCCCATCTCGATCAGGTTTTCGTCCAGTTTCCCTGATCTATTGAGCAAATGCTGAGGTGGCCCCTTGTTTTGCTTCTGGACATAAATGTAACTTCAAATTAATGTCTCCCCATAGCACGTTACACACAGTATTTATCTCTTTCTGGCGTAAATAAATAAGTAAATAAATAGATAAAAATAAATAAATAAATAAAAATAAATAAATAAACTGCTTACGTTTTGTTTAGGCAATAAGTGCTACGCGATTTTCCGGTAAGCCGGATATCTGAGGGGACTCCCAGGTGTATAATTGATTTTTTGGAAGAAATGCAGTTTGAAAGAATTTCAAGACATTCGAGTTCATTATTATCTTTTGGTTAAACGTTTCGGCCTCAAATTTGGAGTGCCTTGAGCCGTAGCCGCCATGAATATCCCCACGCATTGAAGAACTAGTCCAATTCGATGTGTGTCTCTTGCCTGGGATATGCACGCGAATGAAAATGGCGAATGCAGTCTGGAGGAGAATTCTAGAGGCCAGCTGCTCTGATAGGTGGTTTTGCTTAGTTTCTCCGATCAACATCAGGCGAATGCCGGAGCAGTACCCAAACAAACGGACCATGGACCGTGCGGGACCTATCCTTCCTCTTTATTGTCCTATCCTCACCTCCTACACACACACACACATACATACACACATACATACACACATACACACATACATTCACACATACACATACACACACATACATACTCACACACATACACACATACATACACACACATACTCACACACATACATACACACACATACACACATACACATACACACACATACATACACACATACACACACATACACACATACACACATACACACACATACACACATACACACATACACACACATACACACACATACATACTCACACACATACACACACACAAACTAATAAGCACTACAATACCACACAAGTCGGGAGACCGGTCGGGACCTTAGAGTTTATCCCAAATTCCAAATTTACTGCCAAGTACCTCAAATCAAATTCGCCTTATTTTAAGTATTTCCTTGCGAATGGATTTTATGTGTGTATTATATCTTGAAACTCTTATTATATAACTAACTATATACTATGCGTGTTATGTGTCTCAATCTCAATATTTACTTAGGCAATTCCATGTTCATTAGTACTCCATCCGACAATAATTGTTCTAGTGAAATATAAATAGTTGAAGAAGTGGCCGAGAGAGACAAACGATTTGCATTTTCTAAAGCAGCACATTCCACTTATCTTGGAACAAGTGTTAGATACTAAGGCCTTAGCCAATTTCTAATATTAGTTTTTCAGTGTAATTTTGTTCTGAGAGAACTGCGAAAACGTACACTTGAAAGAAACTGCAAGAATGAATAAGGTCACAATTAATTTCACCAAAGCCAGCTTTGCAGACTACACCTACACGTTGAAACTCAGCTAAATGATAACACTGAAGAAAACGTTTTTTGGGAATATATAGCAAGGCTTTTTTGTTACTTTGTTGCATTACTGACAGTTTTAGAACTTACTATCAATTAGGATCAATGGCTGGATCAATTAGGATTTAGATTTATTTAGTTAAAAAAAACAGTAAGTACTGTATGTGTCGTATGGGGATGAAATCGTCTGCGCACGTTGAATAAAATGTTCAAGAAGATCTCATTCGGTACATTACGGCGTGAGAACCTTTGAAGCCCTTTACCTGAAAATTTAAGTGTTAAGGCACTAAAACGCTTCGTTCAGTTCTTTTTCGATATAGATTCAAAAAATCCTGCAGAGGGTGTTGCGGGTAGCAATTGATATGCATATTTAGTTTTGTCCTACAGCGCCAATTAGTAAAATTCCCGATGTTTTAATAGTTATTCTGCTATTAGGGACGGAGACGAATCCAATAAATCAAAGATAATTAAAGTCGGTCTAGCGGTTCTTAAGTTATAAATGGTGTAACCATATATATGAGCCGAGATATATGACATATAGCCGAGATAATATGAACAAAAATTAGAAAAATGATTAGATTTAAAACGTTTTAAAATTTCAATTTATTTTTAAGTTTCAATTTATTTAATTGAATGATCTGAAGCATTAAAAGATGAGCAGATTTTAAACTTGTTATTAAAAGTATTGCAGCTTTATATATGAAAAATAATAATAAAATTGTTAAATATTTTTCGTAGTCAATGGGATCTTGATTTTTACTATACCTGTAAGTTGTCGGTGATTATTCGGATAACGACACTCAATTGACCCATTGATAAAAGAATCATTGACCTCCCTTAAAATGTCGACGACCCCCTTAGATCGATACCTACCCTTTTGGGAACCCTGGTCTAGGGAAGTCCATGCGCACGTGTTCGACCGCTGCGTCATGGAATTTTCCCAACGAGTTAGAATATACTACACAGTACTCGCAAAACTAGAGGTCGTCATGTTTTTGGCCTGTCAAATTATGAATGGTGCCTGGTGGTGGCGTGTTGAACTGTTATGCTGAATCGACATGTTGCTTGTATGAAATCTCATTTCTACATTGTTGTCTTTTTCCTTTAACTGTATTTATATTATATAAGTGGTTAGATTAATAATATTCACAATGCCTGAGGTTAATTTTGCATGTAACTTGAAAAGTTACGGCAAACATATTTTTTTCAAGTTTTCCCCCTTATTTGTGATCTATTTGTTTGCTTATTGCAATAACATTCACTTTCATTTCACTTGACATTCATTTGTCATTTACTCAAGGGCGTAATGATAGCACATGTGCGCGGGTGAGTCTAATGTTTCTGCACCTCGAGACGCTGGGACAAATGCTGATTGGCATAAATGCGATCCATCGGAGTGTGTCTATTGCATGTATGTACTTAGCGCGACAGCCCGTGTACGGGCTCAGGCCTACCGGCGACGTCCCTGCCTCGCGGTTAAGGAGGTACGTGTGGTTAGCACGTAGACATCCCAACGCCGTATTCCGGCCTCCTTTTCAACCTGAGATGTGAATTTTCTGATTGTCACACAGCAATATACACTGGGACATTGCAAAGAAAACGCCCACTATAGTCTTGGCTCGACCAGGAATCAAACCCGGGGCCGCGTAGTAGATAGCAAGCACGCTGACCAAGAGCTAGCCACGAGCCAGTGTTTTTTTAGCCTTAGCAATTTATCTTTCATTTCTTTGTGACCGAATTATTGTAATTTCTTCTAGCCTTCAAAAGTGGCAGTGAATGTAAATTTCGCTGCGTCATAATACAATACGTGCAAAATGTGGGTCAATCTGAGCCAGTTTTACAGAAACAGTTTTATATAACAACGTAGGAATTTCTCCGTAAGTAATTTGAAAAAGAAAATTTCGAAATCTAAATTAGATCTGTGTTCACAAAACTTCCAGAAACTCACTCAATGCGCGTTCATGTGAAGGATAATTGCTGAGGACAATGAGACGTGTTTCAGTGCAAAATGGAGCATGCCTCCACTGTGCGCGATCGATACGTGCGGGGCGATTTGTCTCGAAATTGTTCTGAATCGATTATTCATAGTGAATGAAGTCTGGCCGCTTGATGCTTCGCGAACTGTTAACGAGCTCTCTGTAGTGCAGCTACTTCCGTTTATATGTCAGCCTGCGGTCTTTGGTAAAGAGACGAATTTATCTGCTCCAGCTAACTCGTCTATTCTTGAAAAGAGGTTTTGCTTTTTTGAAAGACAGTGTAAAAGTTTAAGTTGGTACTTTTTTCTTTTAGGAATGAGCATGGAAGGTTTGAGATTAAATTCTCTGAGGCTAAATTTATTAACAATCACCCGTCTACGTACGTTATTTACCTGCAAAAAAGGATAAGCCCCTCCAAAAACTTACTTGTCGGCTTTTCCCCCATCTTTTGCTCTGGTTGCTGATGTAAGACAAAGGTAAATATCCCTCTGTCACCCGCGTGCTTGAAAGTTTATCGAAGGAAATCGGGAAACATGATGAAAAATTCATCCAGTGTTCTGAAGTGGTTCTGTTTTTTAATCTTGGAATACCCTACTGCATAGATGGTGTGAGTTTATGCTTTGAGAGTATATTGCCCTTTTTGGACATTACAGAAAACTTTAATACGGGCAGGCGATGAGACAGATGTGCAATACTAGTGTGACAGTACGGTTAAAACGTGACAGCGACGACTCATGGTATTTTTGTGTGCTGGCCAAGTATTAATCCTATGTGTCAATATAGATAAGTGATAAAAAACAAACACAAGTATCGTATTTTCACTTCAAAACATAAATTAATTGGGCAAAAGAAGATAATTTCCAACTACACAACTAGTCAGGTTTTTTTTCAAGAAAGCGAGCGTGCTGAGTAGGTATTTAAAGGGAGATTTATGAGTGATAAAAGATACATGAAGAATGATACACAGATGAATCATCAACGTGTATTTATTACTCTGATGATGCTTCTCATGTCACTAAAGACTTCTAATTTAGAAGAAAACCATCTCACGATGCACACGTACACATCTAAAGAACGGCAAACAACGAGAATAACAAAAACGAAGCATGAAAGAGACACGAGAATAATCGGATTGGAAGAAGAGTTTGGAGAAGAGGAGGAAGGAAAAACAAGGGTAATCGCATGGTCATTAAAACTGAGAGAATCACGGTTGACAAACGTGGCAGAGACGCCGACGGAGAAAAGAAAAACGAGATTGGTGCAGGTAACGGAGATTCTAAGTTCGTTCAAAACGTCAATGGATACACCAAATTTCCGAGAGAAAAGTGTAATGCCAACGATTAAATCGGTAATACAGGGAATATGTTACAAGAAACCATTTGACGAGCCCTTGCGGAGAAAGAAAGTGATTCCAGGGAAAAGAGCTGAATCAGCAATAGTCCCGACATCCTACGGGTTATATGTCCCAATAAAGAACAGTGGCGACTCATTCCAGAGTGAAAAAGGTGAGAAAGTGGAACGTAGAAGCAGATTTAGGTACGTGAGGGTGGTTCAGCGGGCTGCCGGCAAGCTATCCACCGCTTTGTGGCTCTTGAAGAAGGCTGATGTATCTCCCCAGAGCTCCAAGGCGGCGACTGCATTACATGGAAGCGGACTGCGATATGCGAGAGCGGTCCAGCGGGCTACTGGCAAGACATCCGTCGCCCCGAAGAAGGCCGCTGGGCGCCCCGAGCGCGCTCGGGGCGTGCGCGGGCGGGCGGCGCTGGCGCGGGCGGC